TTGCACCCTCCTGCTACGTCCCTGGCTATAGCCCCAACAGCAACAAATTTAACATATAAAAGTATTTTTTTGATATAAATTTAACATCTAATAGTTCTTTTTGCTTTGAGGTTGTGTGATAAAATTTAAAAAGTATTTACTTTAAAATAAATTTTAAATAAATTTTGCTGTATAACTGTTTTTAAGAAAAAAGAAAAAAGCCGGTAGTAAAAGAAAATGAATTAGTAAAAATCGAAGTGGGTTCGGCCTACTTTTTAACTTTTAACTTTCAACTAGCCGAGACAAGGGAAAGACCAAATATCTATAACGGAAATGATTAAACTATTAATTTGGTTTTCCTTCTAAATTAAAAAAAATTTTAATTTGATTTTTAAAGTATTTAAATTTAATTAATTAGTTTTAAGTTGGTTTTTTAGTTAAAAAATAGCTAATTATTAATGTGACGTATTGTTATTAAATAATAATTTTTTACTGTCATGTAATAAATACATCAAGTTATTTTTTTGATAAAAAGACTAACTTAAAATTAAATATAAAACTTTTAAGAATTAAATTAAAAACTTTTTAAATCTAAGAATCAATGATCCATATAATAATTCAAAAATCAAATTAGAAATTTAACAACTGAAAAAGATGGGCTTCCTCTGGGCATGGCTTCCATTGGGCATGGCTCACCTCTAGGCATTCGGTATTTTTCAACTCCACCGGCGAGCATAAACCTTATTTTGCTGGGAGACAGTACAGGGTCAATGTTCCTAAGAGATTAGTTGTTAATTTAACTGCTGATGTACCAAAAAAAAAAAAATGATGAAAGTCAAAATGGAACTCCAAAGTCAAGGATATTAATTGTTACCATTTCTGCTTCTTGTATGAAAACCAGTGGAAATCAATAGCCACTGGCTACTTGGGGTATGGTTATGACGAATTGGCGGTTAATTAATTTGTTAAGATTATATAATATTGTTTTAAAAAATATTAACTATAGTCAATTTAATTATAAAAAATAATTAATAATAAATAAAATAATTTATATTTTTTACTTAATAAATTAATATTCAATACAATTTATGTAATTTTAACAAAAAGTTGAGTGATCATAATCACAACTTTGGCTACCTTATTCTTCTATTAATAAGAGTTTGATCGAGTTCATATTTATAAATTTAAAAACCTTAAATTTCTGCAATATCAAGTAGTTATACCTCCGATGTATAAAAAATAGAAGAATAAGAGTATAATTGAGTTACTGTTTCCTAATTTAAAAATGCCAAATCTCTATAATACCGGGTAGTTATATCTCCAATGTATAAAATTAAAAAAATGATAATAATAAAAAAAAAATAAAAAAACTATCTTGCCCTTCTTCTTCCTATTCTTCCTATTCCTGACCAGCACCGCTCTCTATATTGTTCCGACGATTAACTATGGCTTCAAACACATTTCTATCCATTTTTTTTGTCTTGAGGAATGTTAAGCACATCCTTTTGGATACTCTCTCTTAAACATTTTTTCATATGATTGGGATACTGTTACATAAATTTAATATGATTAATTATAATTTTAAAATTTAAGAATATTAATTTTAATGTCAATTACTAATTATCAATTACATTAATTCATATTTTGAGTTGTCCAATTATGTGGAGAGTATTCAAGAAGAGATTTTCCTAAGACTCTTCTTTCATCTTATAGTTAGTACTATCATAATAATTTTAATAAAAGAAATATAAAAAAAATATATATTTAATTATATTTAAATGTCTTTATTAGTCATTTAAGATGAAATAATAATTATAATTATTATATAATCAAACGATTATATCAATTAAAAGTTACTATATATTATCTTTTATAATTAAAAGATGTACAATAGAATGATGGTATTTTGGAGAACCCAAACAAATGCATTTTGCACATTAGTCTTTATGTTTATCTTAAATATACGCTTTTTTTTTCTTTTTCTTTTTTTTTTTCTTTTTTTTACCATTTGACCTAGTAACCATAACCACTACAAAAATACCTAACGGATGAATGGAAGAATATGACTCCTTACATAGTCAATGTCATCAATTCGCAGAAGCATATATACAAATCAATGAAACTAACAATTTGACACCAAACAGAACATTGGTATCTATTCATTATATTAGTCAAAGCTCAACTCAAACAGACTTGAAATCTAATAGGAATTCAGTAGTAACGGACATAGTCACTTATAAATTTTACAATCACACAACTCAAGAGAATAGGAGAAAGATTATGAGGACCATCGTCTATAACAACAAATATTTAACACATAAAAGTAGTCCTTAGCATGAAGAAATCCCTCAGCTTCCCGATAAACGTGATTAAGATAGTCATTGGGGATCTCCTCATCAAGCATCCTGCAAAATTAATTAAATTAAAACACTCAATAATATTAAGATGTATTAGTAAAATTTCATCAGTATATTATCAAAATTGACACTAGGCAAGGTGGTGGGGGACGGAGGGGTTGTTTCTGGTGATTTCACCCTCCACTTCTACACACGCTCGGCAAAATAATAATAATAATAATTATTATTATACTACTTCTTTCCCAAAATAATAGATGCTTTATTATTTATTATCAGATTAAGAATGCAGGGGACGGAGAGGGCATAAGCTTAAGATTGAAGAGATTCTTGTTAGAGCAAGGCGGCTTACACAAAAAGAGTAGTCCCGTAGAAACTGTAACTAGAAAAGAAATATAAATGGGAAGAACAGATAATGAAATGCAGAACTTCTGGAATAACCATCTGAAGACAAGGCTTAAGCAAATGAGAGTTGATCCGGTGACTAACCATCTGGGTCTCGTGCTCGGGGTCTCTGCCGTTAGAACCAACCAAACCAGTGGGTAGTCCACAAACCTTGAACGGTGACATTCGATCCTTCAATCCTGATCTCGGAGGCTGGCGATAGCCAACCTCTACAGTGTCATTGACACCGGAACTGGGACTGGGGCCATTTGCGGTTGATTATACATAGCAAAACAAAGTGTAATGAAAAAAAAAAGGGGGATTTGAATAATGTTAATTGTTCTCTGGTTGGTTTTCTCAAGATGGTTTCCGGTTTTTGAATCGGAGAAGGCGGTTTTGTGGTGGAGGAGGAAGTGAAAACAGGGCTCATTGAATCGGAGAAGGCAGTGACTTCTCCAGAGTTTGTGGTGGAGGAGCACGAGGTATGTTTTCTTTGGTGTTTTTGGTGGAGGAGGAGGAGGAGGAGGTAAAAACAGGGCTCATTGAATCGGAGAAGGCGGTGTTTTCTACGGGGTTTGTGGTGGCGGAGGAGGGAGGTAAACAGGGCATCAGAGAAGGCTGTGTTTTCTCTGGGTTTTGCGGTGGAGGAGGAGGGAGGTAAAACCATTCCAACAAAGGAGGTGTTTGTGGTGGCCGGTGGGTCATTGAATCGGAGAAGGCGGCGTCTTCTCCGGTGTGAAAGCGGTGATTTCTCTGGCGTTTTCGGTGGAGGAGGAGGAACGTAAAAACAGGGCATCAGAGAAGGCGGCGTTTGTGGTGGGTTATTGAATCGGAGAAGGCGATGTTTTCTCCGGTATGAATGCGGTGATTTCTTCAGCGTTTGTGGTGGAGGAGGAGGAAGGTAAAACAAGGGCATCAGAGAAGGCGGCGTTTGTGGTGGATCATTGAATCGGAGAAGGCGGTGTTTCCTTCGGTGTGAAGGCGGTGATTTCTCCGGCGTTTGTTGTGGAGGAGAAGAAGGTATGTTTTCTCCGGTGTTTGTGGTGGAGGAGGATGAGTTAAAAACAGGGCACGGAGTTTGTAGTGGAGGAATAGGGAGGAAAAAACAGTGCATCAGAGAAGGCGGGGTTTTCTCCAGTGTGAAGGCGGTGATTCCTCCGGTGTTTTTGGTGGAGGACGATGAGGCCAAAATAGGGCACATTGAATCGGAGAAGGCGGTTTTCTCCGGTATGAAGGAGGTGATTTCTCCGGCGTTTGTGGTGGAGGAGGAGGTAAAAAACAGGGCACATTGAATTGGAGAAGGCGGTGTTTTCTCAGGTGTGAAGGCGGTCATTTCTCTAGTGTTTGTGGTGGAGGAGGAGGTGTGGGTGCTTATCGGTATCAAATGGATTCATCGCATATACTAACAAAATCAAAATGAAAACATCAATCAAATTGAGAGAGAAAGTGAGATTATCAGATCTGCTCGTACCTTACTTAGTTGTGAATAGGGGGGTTAGCCGCCGGGGCAGGCGGAGTCATATTCTGTGGGTTTGCCTTATCAATATGAGCTTGTGGTGACTCGTTAACGGCAACTCCGAGAAGAAACATGATGGTACCAATCATAAAGATAAAAATAATGGATAGAAAAGTGTTTGATGCCATATCAGATATCGCCGAAGCAAGAGGAAGCGTTGCTGAATTTTTTTTTTTTTGTTTTTTTTGGAAACGGGAGGAAGCGTTGCTGATTATGAAGAGGACTGGAGGAGGAAAAATGGCATATATATAGGGGTGGCAACTACCTCCGATACTGGGGCCCAGTTGACATATCTGCTTTTATGCATATGCCAACTCAACTTTTTAAAACGCTCTGAAAATGTCACTATTAAGGTTTTGAAGATGTCACTGATATTCACTATTATTCCCGTTTAATTACGAACGTGACACCGCTGGGTCAGTTCAGTGAGTCAGCTTAGGATTCCTCTTTGGTTAAATCCCCGATTCAGTCCCTCAACTTTCATTTTTGAACTAAATTTATCCTCGAACTTCAAAAAATACTAAAAAAATCCTTGAACGTCAATTTTTGGAACCAATTTTGTCTTTCTGTCAGTTAAGTGCTGACATGGCAAAATTTTTCGTTAACAAATTCAATTTTTATTAATATTAAATATTACTTGAAAATAAAACAAGTGAAGTAGCATTTTTAATTATAAAAATATTATGACTTGTCACCAAAAATATAATTTAATAAATAAAAATTTCCTTTTTTTTCTTTTTTCTTTCCTTTCTTTTTTTTTTTTTCTCCTTCTCTTTCCTTTTCTCCTTCCCTTCCCTACTAGGTTTGAAGGAACCCAGCACCAACGCCTGGGTTCCTCGAACCCAGGCGCGGGTCGAGGAACCAGGCGAACCGAGGCGTGCTAGGTTCGATGGAACCCAGGATGCCTGGGTTCGAGGAACCCAAGCTTGAGTTCCTTCGAACCCAGCACACCTCGGTTCAATGGAACCTAGGGCCTAGGTTCGTGGAACCCAGGTGCAGGTTCCTCGAACCCAGGCCTTGGGTTCCGAACCCAGCGCTTGGGTTTGAGTCGAACCCGCCTGGGTTTTTTCTTTTGTTTCTTTGTTGGCTGCAGTCATGCTTGGCTATCTTGGAATGAGATTTAGAGTTGTGTGGCTTTTGATTGCTTGAATTTCAAGATCTAGTTACTGTTGGTGTTGATTGAAAGGATGTTGTGTTTTTTACATTTTCCTTTACAGATCTAGTATACATTTGTAGAGGAATTGATTTTTTAAATTAAATCTATTGGTCATTATTATTATGCAAGGAACCAAAATTGGGTTCTATTAGAGAGGAAGTTTGGGGAAGAAGTAGATGGTGATTGGAGTGGTAATAGATGACCGGAGCAATGAGGGATGATCGGTACTGATTGGGTTGCAAGATGAGGAGACATTTGAGGATAAAGAGAGATGAGAGGGGATGGAAGATGAAGATGGGGTATTTAAGGAATTTAAAATTTTTTAATATATAAATTGATTAAAATGATGTGGATAATAATGGGTTAAATTATTTTCCATGTAATTAAAGATTTCAAATAAGAATTGATTTCGTGGCAACTTAACGTGCCATCTGGCACTTCTGTCGACGGAAGGACGAAATTAGTCTCAAAAATTGAAGTTTAAGGATTTTTTAGTACTTTTTGAAGTTTGAGGGTAAATTTAGTTCAAAAATAAAAGTTGAGGGACTGAATTGGGGATTTAACCTTCCTCTTTTCGTTTTTCTCTCGTCAATGTAGCAATGGGAAATGAGTGATGGCGAGTCCATTCCTTAAAAAAAGGTTAAAATAAAAAAAAAGTAATTTTTTAATATGTATTTTAAAGGTATATTAATTATTTATTTTATATAATTTTAATAGATTTAATTTTTTATTTATTGAAATAAAGATATAATA